AAAATTAGTGTTTTCATCTACAACTTTTGCTCTTGGTAGAATTGCATAACACTGGACTATATGGATAAACAATCATTTTTAAGACAGTTGAGAATTTTATGGTTTGTGGTTGAGTGTCATCATCAAGCATCGGTAATTACTGTGAAAACAGAAAACTGTGTCAGGAATTTTAACAACTAGTTTTATGATCATGGTCTTTCTAGAAAGCCTGTGGGAAAATGAATCATGAATCAATGTTTTGAAAAATAGACCCACAAAAACCAAAATTTTGGTCATCACAGAAAAGCAATTAATACCATTTTTACAGCCAATCAATTGGTATCTTAAAAAGGCTTAAATGTCAAAAACACAAAGATGCAAAATCAACCCCATTTCACAAATAGAAAAAACAGAATTTTATTTCCCACCTAACAAATTAAACTCTTTTTCCCACCCATTCCATTTCATCTCAGTTGTTAATGCTAGATGCTTGACAAAACATAGGAAGGAGTAGAGTGGAAGAGAAACATGTGAAGGGCTGATGAGGGAGGAGCCCACTGGAAAGGAAGCAAGGTGCCAACCGCAGTGCAGAGTTTAATGAGTGATGGGGGTTCTGGCCATTTTGTCTTCCATCAACAACGCCAAAATCTGCTGCGGTGGTTTTTCTTTGGAGCGTAGTGTAAGTGTAGGATGCCACTTTCAAAAAATTGTATAATTATGGAGATACTATGCTGCATGTGAGAAGAAGAGGGTCCCAATACAAATAATTAACTCGTCTAATATTGTCTTTAGTAGGCTTAAACTTACATAGTGCAATTCTGAGAATGAGCTTCAATAGTTGTAAAAGGAAAAAAGGCATTAAAAATTAAGTGAAGAAAGTTGAAGAGAATTGAAGAAAGTGTAAGACTTTGTTTTTTTTTTTTTTTAAGAAAAGAAAAAGGAATTTCTTATTATGTTTTAGAAAGTGTTTCATGTCATAGGATAGTTCGGTACAACTTTTAAAAATCAAGAAATAGCATGTGGCCAAATGTAAATGGCGGATTGAATGGTGAATAGTGAGTGAAATTATTGTTGTTGTTATTTTTTTTCTTTGATTTTGAGCCATACAATAGAAAGTAAGCCTTTTTTCAACATTTTATTTACTTAATGTGCTTACATAACTTAAATTTATAATTTTTTTATTTTAACGAAAGTATGAAATTATTATTAAACAATTTAATCATTAACAATAACTAATGTTTAGGTATGCAATAATTAGTGAATGACCATTGTTATTTGATCTCAAGCACATGTTTGGTTGAAGGAAATGAAAAGGAGGAAAATAAGAGGAAAGAATTTAAGAAAGTGAAGAGAATATACCCACCTTATTTGGATAGTTTATAAAATTATTGAAGCAAGATAAAACGAAATGATAGAACACATTATCCTCTTCTTCAATTTCTCCTATTTTCACTAAAAGCAAATTATGATTGAATCAATTAGAATTGTTGGCAACATTAATTAATAAAATCAGTGTAAGTTGGGGTTAACTTATACATAACTTTTACATATATTATTGGCATAAAATTTTAGTTATTTGTATATTTATAATAAATAATTAAAATTTATTATAACTTTTTAAATAAATAATAATAATTTTATCTACATAAGAGATAAGAGTTGGATTGTAAGGAGTGTATTCAGTCTTGCATCATATAACCTAATTTCAAGATCTTATAAGCTTCATAAAAAATGAAGATACCGAAATCATGTTTATATATATATATATATATATATATATTTTTTTTTTTTTCTTGAGACCCTACCTAATCAAGTTTATACATATATAAATTCTTGAAAGCAGGGTCTTTCTTTGTTTTAATTGAATTTAAAATGAAATTACATTTTAAGAGAAATCAACCTTAAGATTCAGATCCCAACTATTCGCAAGATCAAGATTAAAAAAAAAAAAAAAATTCTAGCTATTATCGAGTTATGCTGCTGCTTTTAAATTTAGGTCTTCACCAAGAAAACGATAACAGACAATATTTTCTTACTACCGCATGTTTGTATTACTCATTATATATAAAGGAAAATGTTTATCAACTATATATTTTAAAATATTAATTAAGTAAAAAAATATTTTAAAAGTACATTATTTCAATTAATTTTTATTAAAAAAACAAACTACATGATTTTTGAATAAAAATATAGTTTTTATGTAGTTTTATGAATAGAAAGCAGAACTAATCATGATTTTTAAAAAAGTACTTTTTTAAAAAAGAACACCATACACCTCAAGCTCAAGAGAAGATCAGACAACCAGAAAATTTTCTAATGAAGACAAATCTATGATAAAGTCTCCCAAACTGGATTGAAGGTGGACCAGTTGAAATCAAGATGATGAAAACGCGACATAATTGATCAATAGATCTTCTTCCTCCCCACCTCCACCTGATGTAAGGCAAAGAGCAGCCCAAGGGTCCCCATGCTCGAGAACTCCAAACGGATAGCTTTCCTGTATCTTGATTCCCACTACTGCGTTTTTGTTTTGCCTCCATCTCATTGCACGCATTTGATCTGAAAGCACAAAGTACTATTTTTCCTTGCTTTGGGGACCATGACGTTTACATATAGGCTTCAACCCCTTTACAAACCATGTGGAAGGATGCTACCAACCACAACTCTTCAACAGTTTCCCGATGATTTTTCTTCTATTTACCTTTATTTATTTATTTATTTATTTTATTTCCTTTGCCTTTGAGGGTTTTTCTTCTTCTTCTTCTTATTTTCTAACTTTAGCCTTTGTTAAGGCTGAAAAAGGAACGCTTTCAAAAGGATGGGATTGAACCTAACCAAACACAGAAGGAAGCAACCTAACCATAGCATTCATAAATCTAGGAAATCTGCGACAAGTTGAATTAGGTTAATTGGCATTCTTTTGATTCCATACTACATGAACAAGTCAAATTAGGTTAACTGGCATTCTTTCAATTCCATAACGATAGATTTATCAACAATTCTTTACTCTTAATAAAGACTTACAACGCAATATGACATTAAATAAATGAAAATATATTGATTTGTATGTCTAATTACAATTTAGTGACGGTGTATATTGTGGGTCAATACACACATGTTTATATTGTGGGTCAATCATTTTCCTTCCATAGGTGAGGGTGTAAGGAGAAACCAAATTATGAAACTTAAATGCGAAGAAGAACGAAATTGGGTGGACCTAAAGCAATGATTTTCTTCAACCAGCAGTCTTTTTCGGTACATACTACATGGTACTACTCCTACACGCAAGCATCAATAAAACAGAACCTCGGTTGAAAACTAGAGCAGTTCCAGGCCACTTCCAGATGGGCATAAAATAAAATTTCATGGAAAAGAATTTTAGTAACTAGAGACATAAATTTTATTCCAAATATGAAAGCAGAAAGACAAATTAAAGTAGAAAGGAACTAACAGTTAGGGTGGACCAACTGGTTGCAATGAAGGTGGACCTTTTATCCAGACTGTGAGCACAGTGATCCCTTAATTTTACCAGGTTTGAGAGAGAGCATTTGGGAAAGGCAATGTCTGTGGGGTAGTTGACTGAGAAGTCATTAGGACCATTAAGTACTAAGAGAACCGGTTCAATGGTAAATCAGCATCATCATTTGTACCAAGCAATTCCAGCAATGAAGTACATCCGAATTTAGTTAACCAATACCACTGTTTCCATGACTCTACCACCCAGTCAATTCTGTTCCACTTAATCCATACTTCATGGCCACACCCACATATATTTCTGGATGAGTAAAGGAGAAACAATTGGCAATTGGTAAACATGCTTCTGCAAATGATTATGAATATCATGTCGCATACTTGGTCACAAAACACAAGGCAGTTGATTGGAGCTCCTGTTAATATACATTGCCTGCTTTGACTGATGACTTTGCCCTTGTTCGCAGAAATTATTGACTTGGATCGAAAACTTCAAACTTTTTCTTGAAATTCTCTGCCATTTTTATTTCCTCTTCTTTGCCAAGTATACAGTTTTTCCAATCAGCCCTCTCAGCCATGTTCAGCAAGCCAGCCAGAACCTGTAAAGGATTTCCACCCAATGAAGATATTTCCTTTTCTTTTTCTTTTTTTTTTTGGGGGGGGCATACAATGAAGATATTTCTAATTGGAGAACTTCTGTGAAATAACTTTGCATGGTACACATGTCATGCAATGAACAGATTCCAAGGAAAAATTCCTACTCAGATGCAAGGAAAAAGAAAAGCTATTCACTAATGTTAATTCATTCAATTCATCATTAAAAAATTAAAGCTTATCATCAGCACAAGAAATTTCCAGTCTAAGGTTCTTGCTTAAACTACTCTATTTAGTCCTTATGAATCAACATGAAGATGAGAAATCTTATGAAGGTAACCTCATAGGTCAAACAAAATTGTACTAAATAACAAAAGCAGAAACTGGTTATTTGGTCCATCTGGTGAGTGATGAAATTTGATTGACTACTCTTATTTGGTGATTTATGATATAACTTTATTTGACATAGATCAAGTGACCTACCTCCTAAATGAATTTCATATGGATACCAATTCCATTCTAAAGGAACATTTGATTTGCACAACATAAGACAAATGAACATATTCATTAACAATGAAAATGTTTCACCCCTTTATTTCATTGCCATGACTAGAATATCATGTTAGGAATGTCAATGGGAATGGGAATAAAGATACTATTATGAAATTATGGAAATAAAAGTAAAGTACATAAATACACCAATTGCTCAATAGTAACAATCTTACCTCACGTCCAAATTGGATTGGGAACTTTTCATTCTCGCCAACCAAATGTAATAGTATTGTACCTTCGGGGAGTTCCACATAAAAGCAGCTAAAATTATCACCAAACTGTCTCCTCAACCACTTCCTACCCTCAAGGTTGTTATTGACTGCAAAAGAAACAGCAGAATAAAGATGAAGACAAAACAAAAGGGGCCATGTTAAGAAAAATTCTAGAGAACCAATTTAGCATCCATTGTCTGCTAGAACAACAAACATGTGGCTTTTTTTTTTTTTTTGGGTCAGCAGAAACAACAAAC